GGATTATGAAATGGGTTTTAATAAAAGTCTGTTGAATTCCAAAGCCCATGCAATTTGCAGTAGGATGATGTTTTTCAGGGCTTACCTGAATGTACAAAAAGGCAAAAGGAGCTAGGATGGTAAAGTGACTCATCAATGAAGGTGACTAAGGTCATATGAATACTTTTATTTTACTGTTACTTGGTTTTCCACCTACAGCAGTTCCTCAAACAACTGTCATACCTATCCCCAAACATGCTAAGGGATTTCAAACTGAATTGAAGACAGTCAACTGCATTTATTATGGTTATGATTTTCGTTCACTGCTTGAGAGCAACAATGGGAACAAAAACCATCTAGCTAGAATTTTCTTACTGAGGTAGAATAATCATAGGGTTATAAATTTCTTTCCCCTTCAACTTCTCACATAGAGAAAGTGTTGTCATTCCTTCCTCCTTTTAGCAGGACAGAAACACAGTCTGTCTTACTCCTCAGCACTGTCCTTTACCAACTCCCGTCTCCCCTCTCTTAGTGGAAGACTGAAGGAAGCATATAAAAAACCTACTTTTCTTTTTTTCAGATGCTAATTATAGGCAGAAGAACCTGCATGGTTAAAATATATGGTATATATTTCTATTATATTTTATTATTGCATTTATTGACATTATATTAGATAGAGTTGACTTTTTGTTTCAAGGTTATCACAAAGTTATTTGTATATAATTTAATTCTTGTCCCAATTACCAATTGACAGGATGTATTTGTGGCAATTATGGGAGATAGGGAATAAAAAATAATATTAGACAAATAGTACTATCAGCATAGTATTTTAGAATTTATAAAGTACTTTCTCTATACACAACTTTATTCTGTTCTACACTGGGATATTATATTAATTTTACAGAGTAGGCAGCTGAGGCTTAGACCATTTAAAAAATTTACCCAAGGTCACAAAGCTGGGATCTGACAAACTCAGGTCTTTCAACTCCTCATCAAAGTTATTTTTTTCCTATTATACATTGACAAGTTGTTTGAGGGTATACATTATTTTAGTTACTTACAGTGGAGTGTGGCGGTTAATAACACAGACATAAGCTTGAGAGTCAGGCATCCCTGGGTTTCCATCCATTGTTGCCACTCATTAGCTGTGTACCATGAAAAAGTTGCTTAACATCTCTCAGTCTCAATTTTCTTAAATGTAAACTAGGTATTATAATAATAAATTATATCTATCTCTCAGAGTTATTCAAGAAAACTAGTAAGATAACATAGGTATAGCCCAGAGCATCATGCATGGACCATAAAACTTCAATAAATAGTAGTCATCATGGACAAGTACACAGGCAGTGATCAGACAGTGGACTGGCTGCTAAATCTTCATGCTTCCTAGTCCCAGTTTTGGTGGAAAGAACTTTTTTCTTCCTGTTGGATACGTAGGTATAGTTTTCTCAGAAGAGGTAAACAGGCATAGAAGTAACTACGGCTTTGCATGTTTAATAGAAGCAAAGGTGGTATATATAGAGTCAATGAATTTGTGACAGGCTAAAAGTGAGAAAAATAGCATAGGTAAAGTGGAAAGAAATTACTGTAGTCAAGATGACCATCAGTAAAAAGTCTGCACATATTGCAGCAACACTGTGGGATGCAAAGTAGAATTTCGCCATACACACAGGATATATCATTAATCCAGTCACCAGTCCTAGTACTCATGTTGGTCACTGGCATGCATTTTTTCACTGATCTGAAATGAAATGATAAAATATTATAGTGATTTTTCATGAGCTAAATGTGTTCAGTATAAACACTTTCTCTTTATTTTCACATATAATTTCAGCTTTTTTTGGCTTTTAAAATGTTCTTTTGGGAAGTAATAGTGATAAGTAGTTACTTTTTTTTAAGGTCTTTCCTAGACAAAATAAAAAGTTGGCAAATATATGTCAGCTCTCCCCACTAATATTTATTTTGAAATCTCATAGTCTAGAAATCACTGAACCAGTTAACCTTCAAGATTTCTTACAGGTCTGGGAACCTAGACTCCTAGATATCAAAGGAATTTATCCATAAGGACCATTCAGTAATACCAGGCAGAGCATTTTCAAGGAGACTTTAATGTATCTCATGCCCATTAATTAATATTTTATACATAGGTCCAATTGTTGTCCCTTAGGGAATTACAAACTAAGACAGAACAGAGATGCAGATTGTTGTCCCCCAGTAGCACAAAGAAGGTAGGATAGAAATATCAATCTTAGTATACAGACTAACAATGAGTTATTTACAGCATATAATTTAGGATGAGATAGGCAAGACAAAAACCGTGATATGGGGAAAGGGTGCTATTTGGAAGGAGTAGCCCTGTGCAGATCTATACCCAAACTAAACCAAAGAACCAAACAATCAGGTCATCATCTCTGAGTCAACCAGGACTATCTGGAACTCCTTAAATGTTATTTAATTGCTTTCTTTGCCTCGATGTCCTGAGGCTGGGCATGACTATAGAACCTCAGAGGCACTAGAGAGATAGTTTTAATAAAAAATTAAGAAAAAACACCTTTTTTGGTTTTTAGTTTTGTACTACTTACAGATTTTGATGAAAACATTAAATACTCATTAAAGTAATAGACCACCAAACAATTATAGAGTAGTTGGGTCAATAAGTAAACACTGTGGTTAAAATTCATGATTAAGTAGATTTTTCATCATATTCAGGTTCACCCTTAGTCACAAGAGTAAGGTACATTACTGATAGATATAGTATCTAGTGGGTGAAGTGATTTCTTTATTTCATTCAAGTGGTCTTCTTCTGGTCTCAGTTAATGTGGCTTCTAAAAGCACATTCACTTGTAAACCAGGGGTTGTTTTACCCCTTGGAAAAATCTGTCTCCTTGGTTTTAATTGTGAATATAGAAAATGTGCTAATTACTTCTGAATTTGCATGAGATGATCAGGAAAATCCTTGTAACTTATAATGAGAAAAACAAATTCCTTAACAGAAACGTAAAACAAAATTTACTGTGACAAATGTATTTATTATTCACATTCTTCTTGAGAGCAGTGCATGATTTTAGTGTGTTGAGTATGATTTGATTTATGATTTATTTATTTCAGAGACATTTAATGAGTGCCTACTAAGTAGGAGCCTGGGTCTGAAGATTCAAAGATACAAATTAAAATCTTTGCTCATCAGGCTGTCACTATCTTTAGGAGGTGTTCAGTGCACACTTTAAAAATACATTAATTTCCACTGGAGCTTACACCATACCACACATCTGCACACAGAAACACACACATATTTAAAGAATCGAGATGTGGAAGAGATTTTCAGAAACTAAAGGAAGCAGGCCTTTGGGACCCACACCTATTAGACTCACATCTAATAGTTCAGTATTTAACTTCTTGGTTTTTAAAATCATCTTTGAATAATATGTTTTGTGTTTTCTTTCTCCTTTGGCCTCATTTATGCAGTCCTACTTCTAGAAAGAGGTCTTCATGAAACTTTCCATTCCAATCCAACCTAACCTCTGGATTCTCTGGTTGCTTAGCTTGGTAGAAGCTCCTCAGGGAACTTCAGTTGAAAGTCATCTGCTCCAGTCCCCTGCACATTCTTTAATCCTGTGGGGTACGGAAAGGGAGACAGGTTGCCATTTCAGTGTTGTGGGCTCTGAGACTACCCCTGGGGAAAACCTTTGATCTGTATTTTAGAGTTTTGCAGGTTTGATATCTGGAGGCCCTGTGATGCTATGCATTCCCACACAGCATAAAGTAGCTCTCTTTGTCTGCCAAGTAGAAGGCCCATTTTGTTTTTTCTCCTTCTAAGAAGCCAAAAGTGGGGTCCAGTGGTCTGACTGCACAAATTAGGTTTGGTTCTTGCCTGGTGCTTTGGTTTGAGACCCAGGGTTGGACTGAGAAGTGCTGTGGGTCCCTGCTCCATGAGCCAGGGCAGGTAGTGCAAGGCAAAGCTGGTTCTGAGCTGTTCTTGCACATCCAGGAGGCCTACCTGTGGGCGGTCTCTGGCTGACTGTGGGTTGAATTTGAAAACCTGTCATTCTGTTCCACTCCAGCACCACAAAGACTCTCTCCTCAAGGCTGGGCTGTGCTTATGCACTAGAGTAGCCAAGCAGTGGCTCAGATGGGTGCAGCGCCACCCAGACTTAACACAGTCCAGGTTGCTTTGACTTGGCTGAAGTCAGTGTAGATTGAAGCCCCTGAGACACTTTAACTTCGGCTGCAGGCATAACGGGGCCACTCACAGCTTGGACCCTTATGCCCCTTTGGAGGAATAAGCCCCTTTGACCTGGTCACTCTGTGCATTCCTTCTGGCTACTCTTTGCCTTGTCTGGGTGAGAGGATGCTTCTGGGTGGCTGTCCTGTGCATCACAGAGGTTCCAATTTATGTCCATGGAGTCTCCCTCTGCACTGTGCTTTGGCAGGAATCAGTCACCACAGGAAACAGGACCCCATCCGCAACTTAACTACCCTGCTCGGCTGCTTCAACCCAAAGGGAAAGGCCCGGAGCAGGCGAAATGCCTGACGCTCTCAGGGCAAACAGGCCAGTGCAGGGTGCGGACACTTTACTCCAGTGTGCCCAGGACTGGCGCTGGGCTTTCCTGTCGGGGTTGGAGCTAGAATGGCCTTCCCCAGAGCCTCAAGGGGAAGGAAGTAAAAACAAGACATTCCACCCCCAGCCTTAAAAATTAAAATAGTACTGCTTCGATCCCTCCCTCTGCTTCCTGACCCTAGAGGGTTAAATCAGGAGGGTACAACACCACCCCTTCCTCCTACTTCCCGCCTCTCCCCCCACCCACCCCCTTACCTTTAAAAAGTTAAAAAATGTCTGCAGTCGAAATCTCTTAAAGGGGCGGTGCTGGTGAACGAGTACTCTTGGCACGAGTCGCAGAGAAGGCTGGCTAGGGGCGTGAGTTTGCTCCACCAAGCACCAAAACAGAGAAGAAGAAAAAAAAAGAAAAAAAAAAAGAAAGAGCAAGAGAGGGGGGGAAAGGAAGGGAAAAAAGGGGGGGAATAGCAGACAGACACACACTTTAGATAAGGACAATTAGTCACCAGCGAGACCCTGTGGGAAGACAGGTTTAAATCAGAGGGATTTAATGAGGGTGCTCTGTGCCTTCCCTGAAGCCATGCCCTCCAGCAACTCCCACCCCCCCTCGTGCCTAGCCCCAGTGGCTCTCTTCTTGGCTCTATTGCTCCATCTCTTCCTTTCCTCCCAAGCTGGAGACAGGAGACCCTTGCCTGTAGACAGAGCTCCAGGTTTGAAGGAAAAGACTCTGATTCTACTTGATGTGAGCACCAAGAACCCAATCAGGACAGTCAATGAGAACTTCCTCTCTCTGCAGCTGGATCCGTCCATCATTCATGATGGCTGGCTCGATTTCTTAAGGTAAGGCAGGGGCTTCGATAGATTTTTTAAAAAAGTAACAACCCCCACCCCTTCCTATCTCCCATTCCAAAGGGGGAAGAAGAAGAAGAAAATAAGCCAAGCGGATCTCTCAAAGAGAAGAAAGGAGGTTTTCCTCCTCCTGGAATATTTGCTGCAAGGCTGTAACTGGTGATTGAGAAAAGCAATGTTTTCTATTAAGATGCACATGTTTGCAATGCAGAAGGCATTTCAGAAACTTATCAGTTATGACTGAAAAAATGTTGTGCTTACATATACCCACAATTAGCCTCCTCATCTTCTGAAAAAGAAACAAGAGGTTCAGAGTAGTTATAAAAATGAAGAAAAGGCTGGAGCAACAAAGACCTGAGAAGAATGTGTGTATGTGTGTGAGAGAGTGCATGTCTGCGTGTGTCCGTGAGTGTTCAAGTGGGGAATCGCATGAAAGTGGAATTTTCCGCGGAAAGATAGTATCGTCAGTTCTCTCCTACTCCCAGACAGAAAACGACTTTAAGCAGAGGCTTGAGCAGTGGGCAAGTTGGGTCGGATTTTTAAACTTTTATTTTATATATATCCTCAACTGTTGTCTCCAGACTTAAGGACTTTGTAAGACGCTTTTTAAATAGACTGAATGGCCCCCCAGTCCCTCCTCCTCAAATCTCCTGCGGTAACTGCATAGTTTTTCTTTAAAGAAAAAAAATCCTCACTCGGGTCATGTCGTATATAAGGAGAGCGGAAAGGGTTTTAGAAATACTCCCGGGATGTTTTGGAAGTCTGACCCCGGCACTGGTGGATTAGCAAACCCGGAGGTTTGCGCTTAAGGACTCCCTTACTCTAGGGCTTGGAATCTAACTGGGTTCACTCTCTTCCCCCGCGTCGTTAAGTGGTAGCAGTTAGGCAACCACTATCCCTTCCCATCAGGGGCAGAGTTGCAGTATGAAAAAAATAAAAGAAGTAAATTGTCTGCAATGTCGAATCCAAGTGCTGAGTTTTTAAAAATTCCCTCCAAATTGGAGCCTCGGCTGTGGGTTCTCCCGAAGAGTCCAGAGAGCTCTCAGTCCCATTTCTCCGCCCCGAGGCCCCGTCCACCGCGCGTCTTTCGTGAGTACCTTTCACTCTTTGAGAAATTAAAAGAATTTTGCCTCTCGCATGCGCCCGCCCCTCAGCGCTCTTGAGTCTTCTCGGGCCTCCGCTGGTTCAGCGGACGCGGCAGGTAGCGGGCAGCGCAATGTGGGGCGCTCCTTCCACGTGAAGCAAGCGTTGTGTGAGGACTGAGTTGTTGCTGCTGCCTCCGCCGAGACCTTTTCGGCTGCTGCCCGAGCCCTCGGTGGGAGGGCGGGAACAGCTCTGCGCCGCCCGGTGTCCTCTTTGGAAGCTCCTCGGGGAAGCAGAGCCCGTCTCCAGCCCGTCCCCAGGTGGGAGGCGGCGGGTTTGCCCAAATACAAGCCCCACTTGCATTGCACTCTTCCAGCTGCGCGTTAAGGATTCTTTTTTGAAAACCATCCTGTTCATACCAGATGCTTGCCACAGAAAAGATTCCTAGAAGGCGGCATTGGGGGAAGAAGCCGTGGCGGAGAGCATTTGCATTGGGTGTGGAGGCTTCCGGACGGGCGGTTGCTGGAAACGCCGTTTCCGCGGGGCTGGACTCGCGCAGATGTCTTCTGTGCCCGCCGAGGGCCCACGCGCCCGGTGCCCCGGAATGCAGTCCCGGGGTCCTCCGCCACCGGACTGCCCGGGGTGACCAGGTTTCTTAGAAAGTCCCTAAGCGGCATCTCTGGTGGTTTTCCTTTTTCTTATCCACTGCCTTTATGATGCTCTTTAGTTTCTCCGTCTGGGTGTGGATTTTAAGAACCTGAACCAACAAAGCGTTAAAAATAAATTACAGATGTGGAACTCAACAGCTGATATCCTTAGCACTGAGCATCTGCATTGCTCTTTTTTCACTGCTTTCCGAAATAGCAATTGGCTTAAAAAGAAAAAAAAACAACTACTTATGGGAATCCTGAACCTAAATAGAGGTAAATGCTTTGTCCTGGTGTTCCTCAAGTTTCCTCCAAAGCATAGGTTCCACATTTCGGCAAACTTCACTTTCCCCATCATTTCCGAATGACCCCAAGTATGGTGGAGAAAAGATGGAGCCCAGCTCAGGGGGTGGAGAGAAGAATACCTTTCTGAGATCAGTCTGAACTGCATGGGTCAAAGAGACATTGCCTATGTTGTGCAAGGCAGCGATGGAGAGTATTCACAGTAAGGCAAGGATTTACCCCGGGAATCCCTCCCATCCAGGAGTTTGGGAGATCCATGCGGTTGCTATAAACTAGTGGAAAAGGAGAACCAACTTTGGCATTAACTTGTCCTCAAGTGCCTGGTCTGAGAGAAGAAAAAAGATTTCACCTTCTTTACTGAGGTGGTGGTGCCCCTGGGGCCGAGGAAGCAGATCTCCGGTTTCAAGTCGGAGTCTTGCCGTGGTCCGCTCTGCGCGTTTCCTTCAGGAGCGCTTTCCCGGCAGTGGCAGAACAGGTCAATTGCGCCTTAGCCCCTTGTTCTTAGAAGTGCTCGCCCCCCCCCCCCCCCGTTAACACAGTCTAACCCTTTGGAAATAAGTACATTTGGCGAGCAGCTGCGGGGTGTCTGTGGGAGGGGGCCAAGGCCGGCTGGGCACAGGAGGAATAGCCCCCAGGAGCCGGGCGGCCAGGTGAGGGAGGCAGGGGTGCCGGGCGCACGTGAGGGGCCAGAGCGACAAGGAGCCCGCGCGGTCCGCGGCCTGGGGCGTACGCTGAGCCTCGGCCAAGTCGCCCGCAGAGAGTGGGAAGAGGGCTTGCAGGATGCCCCGTGGCCTCCCGCCTTCCCTCGGGATCCTTTCTTTTTCTCTGTCCCTGCAGCTCCAAGCGTCTGGTGACTCTGGCCCGGGGACTTTCGCCAGCCTTTCTGCGCTTTGGGGGTAAACGGACTGACTTCCTGCAGTTCCAGAACCTGAGGAACCCGGCGAAAAGCCGCGGGGGGCCCGGCCCGGATTACTATCTAAAAAACTACGAGGATGGTGAGAAACTTGCTTCCCATTCTTGCGGGGTGGGGGAAGTTTGAGGACTCGAAGAGTGTGTGTGTGTGTGTGTGTGTGTGTGTGTGTGTGTGTGTGTGTGTGTGTGTGTGTGTGTGTGTGTGTGTAGGGGGTAGATTTGGAGGAGAGCCTTCTAGAAGCTCCCCTGAAAAGCTGGTAGCCGCAGGCAAGAGCTCACCAGTGTGTGGGGCTTGTGACTTGATTACGCAGAGGGGGGCTCCCAGGTAAAGTAGCCGGGGTCGCCGCTGCTGGCCTTCCACTGGGCTGTTGAGTCCCGAGGCCATTAACTGATGGCCGAAACTTCTGTTAGGCTAGTCCTGTGGGGAGAAGAGGTAGTGGGTTTCTTGAATTAATACAGGCAGGTTCATAGGTTACTAAAGGGCCAGGCTTATGTTTCATTACTAAAATTCTAGAAAAAATAGCTATTTTTCTTATTCCTTGTTTTCCTGTGACAAGATCCAGCCTTTTTTAAACCCACTCTAAAGTTTTCTGGAATAATCCCTTTTAGATTGGTTCGTTGTTAGAGAGGGTTTGAAAATCTCCACAGTGGGTTCTTCTTCAGACCCCCTAATCTCAAGAGTCAATTTTTTCATTAAAAAATGGGATTATAAATGCCAGCTTTTTTTCCTGCTAGGATCAGATGAGTTAAGCATCAGGTTTTGAAAACTCCAAATCCTATTCCAGTGTGAGAGGCCAATCTTTTTAGGTATTTTTACTAAGGAAAAAATGAAAATGGTATTTAAAAAAATTTAGAGGGTTTGGTGTTAATATCTATGAATTTTCTGTGTAGGCAAAGGTACACACTTTCTTCATACAGACAAGATAGAAATTGGTGGCTCCTCAGCCACTGAGGCTGTTTAGATTGGATAGATGAGGCATTAGTGTCCATTCTTGGAGGGTTATCTCTGTCCTGCTGTTCTTTCCTATAAGTGAGCTACAGTTTTATTTTCAAAGGGTTCAGGGACAGTTTCTCAGCACTACCTGGATTTTGTTACATCTTGTCCTTATAAATCAGCAAAATGAGGAAATGCTGTTGTATTTTCTGAGGCTTTCACTGAATGGGAATTCTAGAGAGGTATTGGGATTTATTTCAAGGGTGGCTGAGAAACCTTTTTTTTAAGTGCCAGAATGGAGAAAGAGAGCAAGGCTGAGGCTTCTTGAGTTTGAAGTGTGAATAGGACTTCCTCTTTTAAAATATTTGCCAAAATGTGTAGGTATTTAAGGTTACATCTTTTCAAAGGTAAATAAATGTCATTACCATAAAGAGTAGATTGCAAGTAGATTTTGCTGTCACTCAGCATAAAATGCTGAAAAGTAAAAGATAATCCTGAACAGCATCTCTGTTGGTAATTTGACCCAGGGCCTTATAGCTCCCAGGGTCACTGTCAACTCTGAGATCAGACACAGGAACGGAAAATATTAATGTTTTCCTGATGAAACAGCTCTTCTTTGAATCCGTTTGGAATACTTCCTCTTTAGTTTGTAGGAGAACTTGTAAGAGCCCCAGGAACCACTGGAGGGAAAAATGACCATTATAAGTTATAGGTATTGGCCTTTTTCTCCCAAACTTGTACCTAGGATTATATTTATAATTCATTGAGAACATGAGGTCATCTTCAAATGAAGGATACAATTTGTTTCCCTTTATAAAAGGAGAAAGTGGGCATATCATGGGGAGAAAGGAAATTGGCAAAAGACTATGCCCCATAAAACTTCACAGAATTAAAAAAAATCAGAATTGGAAAAGATCTAAGAGATCACCTTCAATCCTTCCACCACTTCAGGGGCCAGTACAGGATTATTGCATATGGAATCCTTTTCTTGTTTTGTCCAACCTGGCATTAAATATCTCTAGGAATTTAGTTTTCACCACTTTTGTGAGAGTGAGTTGTTCTGTCCCATAGGTTTTTGCCAGCAAGCTTATCCTGAGATTTCCCTTTATAAATATTCCCTAAATATTTATGATTATTTTTGTATTTTTTAGACTTCTACCTTCAAAATAATTTCTAACCTTGGTGTGTCAGCTTCAGAAAAAAGTGTCCTCATAGCTAATTTTTATCTAGACTACCTGGATTTAATTCTTTTAAAACTTTCTTTAAAGTCAGTCCTTCCAGACACTAATCTGTTTTATTGCTCCTAGCTGAACTCCTTTTGATTTATGTCTCTGTGGTAATAAGATGCTCTGAACTATATCAGTATTTGAGGCCTTAGCAGAGTTAAAGAGAGTGGGAATGCCCTATTTCTGCCCTTTGATGCTCACATATCCTTAAATCACCCATGCTGTCTTTGTTGTTGCATGTTGCATTGCAGAATTCAAGGCAAAATTGTCTTTGCTATAGTCTCAGCAATTTTGAAAAATTATACTTCAGTTGTTATCTTTCACTTACTGATCATTGTCATCATCATGAGCATCTTAAAATAATTAAGTGTTCTTAGTAAATGGTATTTAGGCATAAGTACCTTATTTTAAAAAAAGATCTACTGACTTAAACATAATATTGTATAATAACAGAAAGTCATGTGGCTTCTATTTTCCAAGTACTTTATTTAAGCACTTTAATGCTACTGTGTTTTCTCTTTCTAAAGCCACTGTTTCTCACTTTGGGAACTTCTTTGTTACTCCTTTAATACATTCTATGCTTAGGCAACTTAAATTTCATACAAACATAGTGATGATGGAGGAAATAAAAATCGGATTGTTCTCATACGTTGGAATCTTACCCTTTGCCTAACTTCCTCTCTGTTCTGTGATGTTATGCTTTACTTGCTCCCAACAAAGAAATCTTGGATTAATTTTTTGTTCGTAAGTTTATTTTGCTCCACTCTGCCCTTCTTTGTTACATATTCAGTGTGCTTTCTTTATATACCTGTCTCTTTACTGCCATAACCATGTCTTTAATTAAGATGTATATCATTTATTATGCACATCAAAAGCTAGCTTAAGTATTTCTAAAATGTCACATTCATTATGTCATTCTTTAAAAACATTTTTTTGTTTTTCAATTACAGTTGACATAAGAGTATCATATTAGTTTGAGGTATATCATGTCACTCTTTTGCTAAAAAACTTTGATTATTTTTGGATTGTTTACAGAAAATGTTCAAACTCCTCAACTTGGCATTCAAAGCCTTTTACATTTCAATCTCAGCTTACCTTCTGTACCTTATGTTTTCATATACCTTTATAACCCTACTTGATTTCAATGTCTTCTTAAAGCACAGTCTCAACTCCATACCTCTGTTCAGCTGGTATATCTCTGCTTTGAATGCCTTTCTTTTGGCTTTGTTCAAATCTCACTCCTACTCTGCCCAATTCCTGAAGGTCTATTGCAAATGCCCCTTATTTTCACAAAGCCTTTCCTGAACAGGGCATTCCACAGTGATCTCTTCTTTCTCTGAACTGTTGAAGCTTTTAACTCTTTATGCTGTTCTTCTGGCCCCATGAGCCTTGTTTTGCTCTTTAACTTTACACATGTGTATTTGTTTCTTTTACCTTTCCAACTAGAATGCACATTCTTTATAGAAAGGGATCATAACTGATTATTGTGTATTTCAAAATATCTAGCATTATGTAAGATACATAGAACTTAAGCAAATATTTTTGGAAACATAATAGATTAAGAGCACTGTTAAAGGCACTGAGAAAATGTAGGTGACCAATGGAAAAATGAATGAATGTTCTATTATTTTTTCACTTTCAATGCATGTTCCTATGAAGTCTGTTCTTAATGCTTAGTTTAATGATATTCTTCATCATTTTAACCATGTACTCTTTATCTTTGGCTGTCTAAGTTATCTTGGTTTCATGCTCTGGATTAAATCAGCTTTTCCATCTGGTTTAAAGCCTTGCACTAGACCCACACTATTTTTTAAAAAATTGTATTTGTTTTTTCTTTGCTTTTTCCTCGTTAGCCTTATGTAATTTCTATGCCTAACTTTCCAATTCCTGATTTATTAGTACCTTTTCATAAGTTAAATTTTTTTTTTGTATCTCCATCTCTTGAAGATTTTCTCTTCAGAGAGCTTCTGAAATCCTAAATGATGAACGTGAGTACACTTTGTAAACTCTAAGGTCCTATACAACTATTACTCTTTTTCTCCTTTCTCCAGGAACTTTTCCCAGTTTTAAGTACAGGTGAGGTAATTCTTTTTATTTCTATTCCCATTGCATTAATCAAGAATATGACATACAAATGGCATATCTACCAAAATGCATATTTGCCTTGAACTTATCCACCTTTCATTATCTCATTTTACATAAATGTTTCTTGAAATTAAATTATACTTAACAAGTATTTATTGATTATCTACTTGGTGTTTAGTTTCATGTTGGACAAAGAACAGCAAAATATCAAGTAAGTAAAAGATACTGTCCTAAATCACCATTAGAACACAATATGAAAAACTATAGTGAAAACTGCTAAAGGCAGGATCTTCAATTCAGCGTTAAAATAAGTACAGGAAACTTTAAGGTAAAACAGAATATTTGCATAGCTTCCAGAATATTTATTAATCAATTATTGTGTTGGTTTTATATGTCCTCAAATTCTTTGATACTTCTTCCTCTAGGATAAGGTGATTGACTTCTCTCCTCTTGAGTATGGACTGACTTTAATGACTTGCTTCTTAAAGAAAAGAGTCTATACAGCAGGAAATGTTAACTTCATGGTGGAGAAACTGCCAGACATTATTTTAGCAAAATGATCAAGGTTCATACCAGCAGATAAGTCATGTTGACATTATGTATTTCCTGATATAATGTGATGAGAAAGGCACTTCACCTTTTGTGATATTCTTTCCTCGAATCCATAACTCTTTGTAAATCTGAGAAAATGCTAGTAAAACCCAAATTGAAGGGCACTACAAAATACCTGACTTGACCCATCAAAATATACTATTCTAGTTTTCAATGAATAAATAGCTTAGTGAGATACTATTACAGATAAAACTGAGGAGTAATCCAAAGACAACATGTAATAGAG